GTGATCTCTGAGAAGGCCATGCCCGATGCGGGGCTCGATCCCAGGACCCTGGGATCATCACCTGAGCTGAAGGCAGACGCTTAACGACTGAGCCACCCAGGCGCCCCAATACCTCCCCTTCTCAAGCTTCTGGCCTCAGCCTTTTGCCCCTGCTGTGCCCTCCATCAAGAATGCCCTTCCCCCAGATCTTCCTAGGGCTGGTTCCTCCTCCTTAGGAGCTCTATCTCTTACCTCTTCCAAGAGGCCACCCTCATCACAGTACCCTGTTTTATTGTCCTCATTACCTGCTGAGATCCTACTTATTTCTCAATTTAGCTTTCATCTGCTCCTCCTAGACAGTGGACAAGAACCCCAGCCCAGAGTAAGAAATGAGAAAATGAAACAGGGATTTCAAAGCAGAGGCAGGTTTGGATCAGGGACAGCATTTTCCAAATTCAGGGCATTCACATAGCAACCACACAGCTTTGGGTGAAGTTGGCCTACCCCCGCTCATGTTTCTTATGTAAGATTTTCTCGAAGGTGACTCACTTCTGAATTAAGTACTTTTATTTACAGAAGAGATTTTAAATCAATACCTTAAAGGTAAACCAGTTTTACCTGCCACAGACTTGACGTAATCCAAGGAAATGAATAGTATGAAATTCTCAGTCTTTGTTAAAGGGTGTAATAAAAAGTGTTGAAGACACGTCAGCTCTCAACCAAGCCTTTTCTCTGGAAGACGCTGAGAAAGATGGTGACTCACCAATTCCCTCCCCTGACTTATGGCCATGCCCAAGGGACCCAAAGTCACTTCACTGTCCCTCCCCCTGCTCTAGGAGCCAGCACTGTGACTGACCTTCCCCAAGCTGTCATCCAAGGTAGCCACTTCTTCCTTGGGGGCCACCGATGCTGTCTGCCGTGCAAGATCCCACCATAGCAGCCCAGGACTCAAGGCACTGCGCTTGGTGGGGCCTGCGGGAAAGGGAGGTATTTAGTGAAGAGGTGATGGGAACTGGAGAGGGAGGGGGAAGGGAGAGCTCTGATGGGTTCCAATCCCAGAATCGATAATGACCCACTGGGTACCCTGGCAAGCCTCTGCCCTTCTCTGGGCTTCAGTTTTCTCATCTACACAGTGAGGGCATGTAATACATCAGTGGGTGGTTCATTATTTCCCCAGCATCTAGAATAGTGTCTGGCACAGAGAAGGACTCAAGAAAGCCCTGGTGAATGTAAAGTCGGAGACACAGGAAGCAAAAACAGGTACTGTGATCACTATTAATTTCTTTTGATCTCTTTCCACTTCTCGGTGGCATTCAGAATTCCCAGAGGGACATGGAGTGGCTGAGGCCCTGCTGAGAAGATATTTCAGCACAATGGACAGCGCCTCGCGGCTCCACCCCATATCCTCTAGCAAGGACTTGGTTTTGCAGGCGGGGGAGAGGCTAGAAAGGCAGGTTTCGGGGCGGGGGGGGCCTCAGTTTCTCCTGCCTCGCAAAACGGGACCAGCCCTGCAAGGCGCAGAGTTTGTCCCGAAGGCGACACAGCATAAAGGGTGCTGATGCGTCGTCCAGCACGTGGGGGCCATTTGGCTCATGGGAATGTCCTTCCTCTTCTTCCTGCCCAGTGGGTCCTGGAAGTAGAGGGATTCACAAGGTGATCTCTGAGAAGGCCATACGTCCTGCTTACCTGTCAAGCAGCTGATGAGGGCTCCACATAGCACAGTGCTCAGCGTGCCCAGGGCTCCATAGTAAAGATAGGAAATGGCATAGAAGCTGTCAGCTAAGGCGGGTCGATCAAGGTCCATTTCAGGGCTAGGGATAGGAGAGCTGTGCATGAGTCCAAAAGCCACTCCCAGTCTGTTCATTTCCTCCCATCTCCACTTTCACGGCCTAGCCCAGTCTTCCATTATTGCTCACTCAGATGTGTGCAGTAGCCACTTCTCTTTCTCTCCAGCTAACCCACTTCCACCCATAGGGGTTCTCTACACACAGCCAGAGGGAGCATTACTGAAATGTAACTCAGATTACTCCCTGTCACTGCTCACCACTCTCCACGGCTCCCTATTACTCTCAGAATCTACCCAAATTAAACTCTTAGAAGAAAACATAGGTGTGCATCTTTATGATCTTGGATTTGGTAATAGTTTCTTAGATCTGACATCAAAAGCACAAGCACAAGCAACCCAAGAAAACATAGATAAATTAGACTTCAACAAAACTGAAATCTTTTGTGCATCAAAGGACACTATCAAGAGATATGAAAAGACAAAAAGAAGAAGAAGAAGAAGATAGCAGGAGGGGAAGAATGAAGGGGAGTAAGTCGGAGCGGGAGACGAACCATTAGAGACGATGGACTCTGAAAAACAAACTGAGGGTTCTAGAGGGGAGGGGGGGTGGGAGGATGGGTTAGCCTGGTGACGGGTATTAAAGAGGGCACATTCTGCGTGGAGCACTGGGTGTTATGCACAAACAATGAATCATGGAACACTACATCAAAAACTAATGATGTAATGTATGGTGGTTAACATAACAATAAAAAAATTATTAAAAAAAAAAAAGAGAGAGAGATGAAAAGACAACCCAGAGTGGAAGAAAATATTTGCAAATCATACATCTGTCTAAGGATCTAGTGTCCAGAATACATAAAGATTTAAAGAATATGTAAATTATAACTTAACAATAAAAAAATAAATGAACCAGTTAAAAATGGGCAAAGGGTTTGAATAGGCATTTCTCGGAAAAAAAAAAGATATAGGGGTGTCTGGGTGGCTCAGATAGTTAAGCGTCTGCCTTCGGCTCAGATCATGATCTCCAAGTCCTGGGATCAAGCCCCACATGGAACCCCCTGCTCCTCGGGGAGTCTGCTTCTCCCTCTCCCTCTGCTCTTCCACCCCCACTCATGCTCTCTCACTCATGCTCTCTCTCTCAAATAAATAGATAAAATATTTTAAAAGTGTTTAAAAATAATTTAAAAAGACCTTCTATATGATCCAGTAGTTCCATTCCTAGGTACAAACCAAGAGAAATGAAACCATATGTCCACACCAAAACTTGTACACAAATGATCATAGCAGCACTGTTCACAGTAGCCAAAAAGTGGAAACAACCCAGATGTCCAAGGGATGAATGGATAAACAAAATGTGGTCCATCCATACAGGGAATATTATTCAGCCATAAAAAGGAATCAAGCCCTCATATGTGCTACAATGTGGATAAACCTTGAAAACACCAAAAACAAAACAAAAACCTTGAAAACATCATGTTGAGGGAAAGAAGCCAGACAAAACAGGCCATATATTGTATAATCCCATTTATAATAAATGTCCAGACAGGCAAATCCATAGCAACAGAAAGTGGATTAGTGGTTGCCAGGGGCTGGGGGGAAGGGGAGATGGGGAGTGCCTGCTCATGGAGATGGGGCTTCCTTGTGAGGTGATGAAAATGTTCTTGAGTTAATGGTGATGGTTGTATAACCTTGTGAATCCACTAAAAACCACTTTTAAATGGCTCATTTTATGATCTGTAAATTATATCTCAAGAGTAATAATCATAATAAAGAATCAGACCAAATTCTTCTGGCTGGACCTCATCTATCCTTCTCGGCCCACTAAATACACCCCATCCTCCCCCTAGTTGGAATGCACTAAACTGAACCCGACCTCAGACCCTTTGCACTTTCCCTTCTCTCCACTGGGAATGCCCTTCCTTCACCTCTTCCCAAGCACATTCCTCTTTTTCATTCAAGACTCAGTTTCAGACCCCCCCTCCCCCACCACATCCTCTCAGGCCACACCCACCCTTCTGAGCAGCCGGCTCACCTGGGGTTCCTGCTGGAGGTGTTGGTGGCCAGGAGCTGGCCCAGGAGGCCAGAGGCATTGGCTGAGGGCACGACACAGCCGGCAGCCGATGATGGCAGGACTCCCAAGGACTGGGTGCTGGGCGGGTATAGAGTGGCGCCCACGGCCACCCACAGCGAGAGCGCCAAGCCGGTGGCCAGCCCAGAGAGGACGCCCTGGGGGCAGAGCCCAGGTCAGGGGAGAGAGGCCATGTGCCCTCCCAACTCCTAGCTGCCCCCACTCACCAGCGTGTTGCAGGCAGGAAGAAACATCCCCAGGATGAAGGCTCCAAGGAGGGGGCCGCTGATGACTCCCATGACGGTGAAGGAGCCCTGTGAGAAAGGGTGGGGAGGGGGAGCTGAGGGCAGAGCCATCCTACCTCTCCTGGCTTCAGTTTGCTTGCTGGGAAAGCAAGACCTGAGTAATTCCACTGTGGACCCTGAGACTCTGCTTGTTTCCCTAAAGGGGACGGGACACCCTGTCCCTGTCTCTCTCCCCTGTGTTGGAGGCAAAGACGCGGATTCTCTCTCCTGACAAATTCTGGTCCCACCTCTGAGCCAGGGTGAGGCCCTCCCTGCCTCCAAGCCACCCGCCCCCCCAACCTCCCACCTCCCATTGCCACCAGGCAGGTGGCTGCAGAAAGTATCAGGCTGGTGGCATCGGACAAAACCCAGTTCTGCCACGAAAAGTAGGACCCTCTCTGGGTTTCAGTTCAATGCAGACGATGCCCTGCTTCTTGTGGAGATGGGGCTGGGTCAGGGCGGGGGGCTCACCTGGAGGACGCCTCCCCCCAACAGTGAGGACAGAGCTGCCACGGTGAGACAGGCTAAGCCATAGATGAGTGCTGTTGCAGATGGGGGGTGGCACGGTCAGCGGGGAGATTCCGCCCTGCCCCCCCAACCCAAGTTCCTCCAACTCACAGAGCCCCTTGGAGACCATTACGAGTCTCCGGGGTGTGAGGCTGGGCAGCCGGGGTTTGATGAGGTCCTCCACGGTGACCGCAGCCATGGCGTTGATGCTGGTGGAGGCGGTGCTGAGAGTGGGGTGGGGCGGGTGGTCAACAGGCCTCCTCAAGGGACTGGCCACACACCCCCCGGGGTCCACCTGCTGTGGGAGGCCCCAGCTGCTCATACCATCTGACTTGCCAGGACCCCACGCAGCCCAAGGGCAGAGGCATGGGTGACAGAATTCCCCAAGAGTGGAGAAGTCCACCACCCCACCATCCGCACCCCCAGATCTGAGACACCCCCATGAGAGCAAGGACACCCCTGACCAAGGACACAAATGACACAAGTTCTCATTACATAGCAATCATAGAGTGCCAAGAACTGCTTGGGATGCTGGTCACAGCAGGAGCGGGGATGTGCCAGAAGTCACAGAGTATTTGAAAACACTAGAATGTGAGGCCCCTGAGGGCAGTCAGGGGGGACCACTTGGTCACAGCTGTGCCCTGGGATTTAGAACGGCAGTGCCTGCCACATATGCACATAGTAGGTGCTCAGTGCGTAGTAGGTGCTCAATAAACATTTGTTTGGGGGCAGAAGGCAGGAAAGAAAGAAGGGAGAGGGGAGTCGGGTGTGGCCCTGCCAGGTGATAAGGTGAAAACCCCACAGCTGGGGTCCTTGTCCCCAGGGCGTGCCTTCTGCTGGAGCCCACCTGAGCTGCCCACTGGGGACCAACCAGGAACTGTAATGATGAACATGCCCAGAACGTTCTATCCCACAGAGGGGCAGCTGGGTGAGCAAGGAGAGCTGCTTACCTGAGGGTGCCACTGTAGGCACAGGCCAGAAAGAGCCCAGGGACTCCAGGCAGGTCCTCGAAGATGTCCAGCACCAGCAAGGGCATGTACTGGCGGGGGTGGGGTGGGGCGGGGGAGAGTCGGGGGTTGGCGTCCAGGACAGCAGCACCCCGAGGATGAGGGATTCTGTCTGTCCTCACACTGCATGTCCCCAGGGTCCAGTGCAAACCGGGCTAACAGTGGGCACTGTGTGTGTGTTTGCTGATTGACTGTGTGCCCTGGGATCCCAGTGAGGCAGAGTCCCGCGTCATCTCTGCTTTATTGATGAGGACAGTAAAACTAATAGGTGCAGCCCTTGGCTGAGGTTGCAGAGTCAGGCAGTCCAGGAGCTGACCCCAGCGGAGGACAGCAGATGGGACAGCCTTCCATCTTCTGCCGATTCCGAACTGACTCTGAACCAGGCATGGCTCCTGGCCCTGGTGCTGCCCCTGATCACATTTGACCTCAGGCAGTTGCTTCCCACCCACTCCAGCCCCAGTTTCCTCATCTGTAAAATGGGGGCCATGACAGCCTTGGCCTCATCACATGTTGAAGGGTTTTATGGGAGACTAACTGCTTGTGAAAGGAACAGCATATGGCAGAGTAGGTGCTTAGGTCATGAGAGCTGGTGATTATTATTATCAACACTATCATTTCATGCTGAACCATGGTCCCATCTCCTCCTTAATATCCCTCAGGGAGGGCCCCTGGGTGGCTCAGTTGGTTGAGCGACTGCCTTCTGCTCAGGTCATGATCCTGGAGTCTCAGGATCTTGAGTCCCACATTGCGCTCGAGTCTGCTTCTCCCTCTGACCCTCCCCCCCGTCATGCTCTCTCTCTCAAATAAAATCTTTAAAAAAAATATCCCTCAGGGAGTCTCTGACTCTAAATCTGAATGTGCCCCTCCCCTGCGCGCCCACTTCCCCTAAGGCTCCCCATTGCCTCCCAGCCTTGTCTTCCCTGCTCCTTCCAGATCCTCCTCTGTGCCAAGCTCTTTGCTGCCCCTGGACCTCTGAGCAGGCTGTTCTCTCTTCTAGGAATGCTGTTCCACCCTTGCTCCCAGAGGTTCATCCATGCATAAGTTCAGAATGGGGCTGGAGAGGGCAGGAGTGGCCTAGGAGCCTGGGCCAGACTTACCTGGTCTGGGGCAGAGATACGCCCTGCAAGGAGAGGGTCACAGTCTACATAGATCGTGAACATGATGATACCACAGCCAGCAGCACTGAGCACGATCAGGAACAGGCCCAGCTGGTTGACAAGCAAGGCCCTGGGGGGAGGGGCAGCCTCAGGCTGGGGAGGGGGGCAGCTGGTCCCAGAGGCCCCCACCCTGCCCCTCCTAAACACTCACAGCTTGGCCTGCTTCTCTGTGCGACAGGCCACATAGCGCTGCACCTGTGCTTGGTTCACACCATACATTGAGAGCCAGACCAATGTGCCACCCACCACAAGAGTCCAGAATGTGTAGCGGCTCCGCGGGTCCAGGTCAAACCTGGATAAGGGTGGGACAAGACAGCCATATGGGAATGCCACATTGACTTCACCCTCCCAAGGGCCCCAGATAGCCATTCTGAACCTTATGGGCCTTGAGGGGACTTTTGGGGTGGGTTTTGAAGTGTGAGTAGGAGTTTGCCAGATCGAAAATTTATTTATTTACTGAGTCGTCCATGTATGCATTCAAAAACCTTTCTGGGGCACCTGGGTGGCTCAGTTGTTAAGCATCTGCCTTCGGCTCAGGTCATGATCTCTGGGTCCTGGGATCGAGCCCCGCATCGGGCTCCCTGCTCAGCGGGGAGTCTGCTTCTCCCTCTCCCTCTCCCCCTGCTTGTGTTCCCTGTCTCGCTGTTTCTGTCTCTCTCTCTCTGTCAAATAAATAAATAAAATCTTAAAAAAAAAATAAGCAATGGCTGAAAAATTCCCCAAATTGGGAAATATATGGAAATCTTGGGACATGAAGCTTAAAGTCCCATGTAAGACTGAATCCAAAAAAGACTTCACCAAGACACATTATAAAAAAAAAAAAAATTGTCAAAAATTAAAAAAAGACCAAAAAAAAAAAAAGTGTCTGTGCCCAGCTGGGACCTCAGAGAGTCGTCAGTCTCCAGTCTGGGCTGGGGGCCACGGTGAGACAGATGGAGGGATGGGGGCTAGGGCAGTCTAGAGACGGGAGGCACATGTTTGGTGTGTGGGGAGTCTGGGAAGGGAAGCAGGGAGGGCTTCCTGGAGCAGGAGCATTGGTTGGCTTCTCCCAGGGCAGAGGGATGTCAGCTCCACCTCTCTGTAGGACCCTCTCTACGGTTTTACTCACTCTATCTGGTTCATCCGGGAGTGGTTCTGGGCAATCTCAAACACGTGCCGGGGCCCACCCACCAGCATGATCCCGCGGGCCAGGACAGCCCAGAAGCCAGTTAGCATCACCACGACCTGGAACACATCAGTCCAGACCACAGCCTTCATGCCGCCCTGCAAGATGTGACAGACGGGGAGGCAGGGGGTCAGATAGGGATCTGTCTGAGGCCAACCCAGTTTGGCTTACAACAGTGGCTGGGACTGGTGCCTCTCTCTGCCGGTTTCCTCATCCGGAAAATGGTGTTGTGAGGATTTAATTAGTTCGTATGAGGAAAATCTTTGCAATAGCACCTACCACATACACGTTCAGTGAGTGAATGAGTGATGGCTGACAGCATTATCATTACTACTATGACGATTGTTCTTAGCTATTGCTTTTACCCTTCCAGCCTCCATACCGCTGCCTTCCCATGGGAGCCCCTTGATTTGCCTTTGGAGAAGCCCCTTCTCCCTCAAAGGCCATCCACTGGAAGCCAATCGACTCCCAGCTCCAGAAATAGCCAACCAGAATATCTTCCCAGCCCCCCAAATTTCTGTGATTGGTTCATCCTGCACGCAAGACTGGGGCCAGCCAACCGGAACCCTCCTAGGACTTTTGCCAGCCCATCCTGAAATAGGAACTCACTTTCTGAGCTGATGGGACCCCAAGAGATGGGAGAGGGGCCCAGAGGACGCTGTTGTAGCCCCTGGGTCCAGCCAGTCCTGAAGCTAGCATATCCCTGGACTCTCAGCAATAAGCCTTTCAAATGACTTGTTATTAAGATGAGGAAACAGAGGTCCAGCTGGGATGCAGGTTTCCTCAGCAGAAAGGGCAAGTAAGGAGTGGATGATGGCTTCAGGGTCTCCCCGACCCAGTGGGCATGGAACCCCCACGTGGGGTGGGGGTGTCACTCACCACAGTCGTGTAGAAGGTACAGATGGCTCCAGTGGACAGAAGCGAGGCCCAGATGTGCAACCCAGTCACTGCACAAGGAAACCCCCCCACCATTATGCCTCCAGGCAGGGTGCAAACTTGGCCCCTAGTGTCTAGGGTCTCATCTCTTCAGGATTCTTCCCTTCCCAAGTCTCTCCTGGGGCTGCCCCTCCCCTCTCCTTCGGTCTAGTCTCAAAGCCTTTGCTCCCTCCCGGTCACCCTCCCGAGATCTCCCAGAGTCAAACCTTGATTCAGGATGAGAGCGGGGGCGTAGATCACGATGCCAGTATACAGCACCTATGGGTAGAGAGCCGGGACCAAGTGAGGCCCGCGGAGGACGGGGAAGGGGATAGGAAGAGAATAGCGGTGGCGGAGCTTGCGGTGTCCGGCCAGTAGGGGATCCGGAGCTCGGTGGGGGCGGGGTCAGGCCGGGCGTATGGGGGCGGGTCTTCGGGCCGCAGGGGGCGGGGCCAGAAATGTTGAGGAAGGGCCTGAGAAGGGCCTTACAGGATGGGGGTGGGACCCACAGGGCGGGGCCGTGACGGAAGGCGGGGGCTGCGGGAGGGGCCGACGGAGACCCGGACCCGGGCGGGATCTGAGCGGGACCCTGAGGGCGAGGGCGGGGCCGAAGCCACTCACTGTGGCTACCAGGTACTGCAGGGTCCCGCAGAGCCGCACACTGCGGCTGAAGCGCAGCTCCAGGTACTGCAAGGAGGAGCCGAGGCTCGTGGTCACCTGGACAGGTCCTACCCAGGAGATCGAGGCCTCTGGGGTACTTCACCCGCCCTCGTGGCTTCTGCCCTCCCTCCGGAGGCCAACTTCTCTCTCCACTCTTGTCGGTGGGGGGGCCCCCGCCAAGCGCACAGATTCCGATCAGTGTGCACGCACCTGTGCACACGCGCCATCCCCGCTCCTGGGCACACGAAGTGTGCCCAGGAAGACGGATCGGTCAAAGGTACACGTTCTTCCGCCCCCACTGGTGGCTAATTGGTCCCCGGGGCGGTGTCGCTCAGAGTCAACAAGCGGACTCTACACTGCCTGTGGCCAACTGTTCTTGGTCGCCTACTGTCTACCGGTCATGATTTTAATCACTTTACCCCCTGCCCTGGAGGGAAGTCCTCTTATTAGCCCAGTTTGACACTTGGGAGGCCCAAGCAGAGTAAGCGGGGAAGTCGGGTTTCGAACCGTTGGCCCACTGTCCGACGATCGCTCAGCTGTGCGCACGCCCAAGCATGTGGGGGGGGCATGTTCGTGCCTGTCCACACTTGGTGCACACCTGGCTCCGCCTTGCGCGGGCTTCCACCGAGGAGAACCAGGACGGCGGCTCCTCTTCTTCCTGCCCCTCACCCCGCTGCCTGGGGCTACTTCCCAGAACCCTCCGCACCTGTCTATACTGTTAAAGCCCCAAGGAGCCCGCCGGCCGCCCCCTGTACAGCACGTCAAAGCCCCAGGACCTCCCCGCCACATCCCTGCGTTCTCAGCCAGGCAGGTCCTGCCTCCGGGCCTCTGCCCGGTACCTGGTAGGTGCTGGTGAGGCCCAGGCGGTAGAAGACCGGCATGAAGAGCTGGGCGGTGAGCAGGGAGTTGAGCAACTGTCCCAGGCACATCCAGAGGAACTTGAAGCCAAAGCGGTAGGCCTCGGCGGGCACGCCCAACACCTGTACCGCCGACATGAAGCTGGCGGCCAGCGAGAGGCCAACGGGCAGGGCGGCCAGGCGCCGGCCCCCGGTGAAGAAGTCCTCCGCGCTGCGCTGCCCGCCCCGCGCCAGCCCGACCCACAGCCCGATGCCTGTGGACGCCAGCAGCATGAGGGCGAAGACCGCGTAATCCCAGGCTCCGAACGTGGCCCGCGCTCCTGCCTCGACGACCGCCATGAGGTGCAGGTGCGAGGGCCAAGCGCGTCCTCGGCCCTTCCAGCCACCCCGCGTGCCACCCCCACCCCCCACCCCCGGTAAGGGAAACTGGCAGCGACCGAGGAGGCAGGGCTGCGTGGAGATGGGAGGATGCTTGGCCTCTGCAGCGAGGCCGCACACCTGTCTCCTGCGGCCCCTGTAGGGAGGGAGTGGAAGGGACTCGGGCCGGGGCTCCCTGGGCAAGGAATCTGTGGATCCTCGCGGCGGCGGTCTGCCTCCCTGTCCCTCCTCTTCTACGCGTCTGCCTCTGCCGTCTGTCCGTCGGTGCCCCTCGCCTCCCGCTCGGTAAGGCTGGCTCCTTGCAGCGGTGTGTCGGCCGCCCAGCCGTCGGTCTCTCTCCCTGGGAGCTGTGCTCGGCGCTCGGACCTCGACGGGAGGTCTCCGTAGGGCTTAAAGGGGTGGCTCCCGGCGACCGGCTGTGAATTTATTGGGCTCCCGGGTCCGCGAAACCCCGCCCCTGGAGTTGGGGGCGGGCAGGACCCGCACCCTTTCCGCCCGGGACTGGGTCAGATAGGCCAAGACCGGCCACGTGGGTGGCTGCTGGGGGTGGGGGTGGGGATGGGTGCGGCTCCCAAATACCCCCTCTTACTTCGGTGGCACTTTCCCCTCACCCCGAGCTGTTAATGTCTCCCGTTGACAGGTAGGGAACTGAGGCTCCGAGATGGCATATCACGCTCACCTGGGGCCACACGGCTGGAAGCCGAGCTTCAGCATTCAAATCCCCGCTGTGCTTTTGTACTTTAAGCTGAGGGGAGCTCACTCTCCCACAAGCCAGGGGTTCATTCTCTGGGTTGCCCTGCCGCTTGAGGAAAACTCGTTCTGCTTGAACCACCCCCCCCCCGCCCCGCAACTGGCACTTGCAACCATTCCCTTTCTTCAGAACCTAGCGGGAGGAAATCACCAAACCCCAGCCCCAGGCTAAGCTGAGTGGGAGACATTGGGGTTCAGGTCCCAAATGCAGACATACTTGGAGGAGTCTTTGCTTGTCATTGTACCTCAGTTTCCCTATCTGTAAATGGAGATAAAGTAGCCCCTGCCCCGAGGAATAAATCGAGCCTACATAATGCGAGCCTGGCACAGAGTAAGGCCTTCATTCACTCGTGTCTTCACTCATTTGTTGTTTCCTGTGCCAAACACTCATGGAGCGTCTGACCTGGGCCAGGTGTTAAATGTATAATGGAGGTCATGGGGGAGGGACTGTCAGTGGCCTCGAATCCGAATAAATGCGGGGCCCATGACTCCTTGGGAGGTAGTGTCTGACATGTCCCCCATCGCGCAAATGGGGAGATCCAGGTTGGGGAGGGGAAGTCCCTTGCCTGGGGTCATGGCACCAAGAGACCCAGACACTGTCGTCTTGGGCCCTTTGCTGGTGGACTTGAGGGACCTTGGCCTCTGGAGGCTCTGACCTCTGGGTTCCAGTCCCGAAACGGGGTTCCCTCTTCCACAAGCGGGAGGGATCTAAGACCTCCGCCGGGTTGAACCCGAGGGCCCTGGAGTCCTGTCCAAGCCTCTGCCGCCTCCTGGTGGTCTCCGGCCGACTCGCGTCACTCCAGTTTGGTCCAGCATCTCCCTTGCCATCCTTTCGTGCCCCCTCCCACCCCCACCCCCAACCGCACCCCCCGGCTCTCCCTCTCCGCGCGCTGGGCGGGGCCGGCCTGCACCCCCCGCCCTCCCCCGGGACTGCGATAGGGCGGCGGACAGGCGCCGTTGCCCGCCAATATGCGCTCCGCCACCCCGGCCAGGAGAGTGCGGAGAGGACCCTGAGTTCCTTTTCCTTACCCCGCCTTCATTTTTTTCCAGGCCCGGATGCGCGGCACCCATCTGGAGAATCTGATGGGAAAGGATAAATCCTGGAGGGGATCCCCTTCCCGAAAAGCCATGCAAGCGAATGCAAATATATGCAAATTGTTGCAGCGCGCACAAACCCGATCCTCCCTCCCCAGGGAGGTTCTGGGAGTGGTTACCAGCCCCACTGCCAGCCTGTCTCTTCCTCTGTGAGGTGGGAGGCTACAGACTGACGCTTGGGCTGAGGCCCGATCATTGAGCACCTACTGTGTGCAGGACCATGCACCCGCTGCTGGGGACACAGCAGGATCACAGGCACTTGACACTGACCGAGCCAGGAGGTGAACACACATTTCTGAAGCTGATGGTTGAGTGAAGCAAGGTCAGAGAGGGAGCTGGCCTGGGGGACGACTTTATGTGGGTCTCTGGGAGGGGAACTCTTGGAGGTGAGTGCAGACCTGGCAGGGAGAGGATGAGCCAAGCTTGGAGAGATGCAGGGGGAACAGCCAGTGCAAAGGCCCTGACGTCAAGTGGAGTGAGCAGAGTGAGTGAGGACAGCGAAGGCCACAAGGGACCTTGAGCCTTGGCCAAGGGTGTGGATTTTATTCTGAGGGAGCTGGGGGAGCACTGGAGAGTTTGGAGCCAGAGGGACCTAATGAGATTTATAGACTCTGAAAAGCCCGCCATGTCCACGGCAGCAACCGTGTGGTGGGAAGAAATGGGTGGATTCAGAACGTGTTCTGGAATTCCAGGATTTGACAGGAGGCCCAGAGTTGGGAACCCTGAGGAGTGGGTGGGTGGGACCCTCTTCTCTGGGGTTGGAGGGGTACAGGAAGTGGGTTGGGGAGATGCAGTGGTACCTTCCCTGCCTGTACAGTTCCCATATGGGCAGAGGGCAGGCAGGACCCCGTTGGTGAAGGGGGAGGGTCAGGGAGATCCCTGATGGCCCGCAGCTGCAGTCTGAGCACCAAGGGCAGGAATGTCAGGGTGCTGCATGGCTATTTGCTGTGCCCACCCCTGCCTGCTGCCCGGGCACCCCCAGGGCTCTCATGGCTCCCTGGTGACATGGCAGGGGTTGGGGTGAGAGGCTGTGAGCTACTCTGACTCCAGCATGACCTTCTGGGTGTCTGGCCTCGAACTTCTCCCTTGCACTCAGTACAAGCAAACCATTTTTTTTTTTTTTTAAGATTTTGTTTATTTATTTGACAGAGACACAGCGAGAGAGGGAACACAAGCAGGGGGAGTGGGGGAGGGAGAAGCAGGCTTCCCACGGAGCAGGGAGCCCGATGCGGGGCTCGATCCCAGGACCCCAGGATCATGACCTGAGCCGAAGTCAGATGCTTAACCCACTGAGCCACCCAGGGGCCCCAAAAGCAAACCATTCTTACTAATGGTGCTGTAGCTTCCTGTGAGAGTCCACCATTCTTAAGTCCTGAGGATCCCAACTGTGATTCTAGGATTCCATGATTCTCAGGTAGTCTCTCCTGGTTTCAGGATCCGGGTCAGGTCTTCTGAGGCCCCTGCCTGCCCTTGCCGGATGGTCCTGACTCAGGAGCCCCTGGGGTACAGGGAGGGGCAGCTTGTGATCTCTCCCCCAGGGCTCCCAGTCCTGCCGGGCATGGCACTCGGCACCTGAACAAACACAGGGACAAGGCCTGGGAGCACCCAGACAACCAGAGGGGTGTCAGTGATCCCGGAGGCAGGGGCCTCGTGGGCCTCACACTGAAGGCCTATCTTATCTCGTTTTTGTTGTTCTGCTCGGTTCACGCACCTCAACTATCTCTGCAGAGTGAGAGCTCAGCTCAGCAGTCCCCATCTCCAGCCAGCGCCCTGGCAACTGCTCTGTGCAGGGTTGGGGCGGGGCGGGGGGGGAGATTCCCAGGTGGATGGTTACATGGTAGAGGGGTCCATGGGCGGGGTGGGTGGATGACTGGATGTAAGTTAGGGTGCCGGTGCTCACTCATTCTCAGTTCAAAGATGCCTCAATAACGGACTGACCCCACCCTTTGGCTGGCTGGGGCAGAGCCCTCCCACCTGGCTCCCAGGCTGTAACATAGATGAAGCCTTGATGAAGACCCAAGGTAGGGATGGGGGCTGCACAGTGGGCCTGGGGCCAGGGCCTTCCACTTTCCTGGTGACATATCCCATCTCTAGTTCATCTGAAGGCTTCCCACACCCAGAACCAACCCCGCCTTACACAGGAAGAAACTAAAGCTGAGGGGGTAGTGACTTGCCCCAGGCACAACCATTAGGGCCCACCTCAGGGCCAAGTCACAAGTGACGACGAAAAGCCTCCAGATTACAGCCTAAGCAGGACTGGTGTTTCCTTCTCCCCTTTTCTCATCACATACACACAGGGTCAGATACCCAAAGTCCTTCTACCTTGCTGCTCCAGTGTGTCTTCTTAATGGCCAAAGATGGCTGCTGGAGCACCAGACATTGTGCCTATATTCCAGCCAGATGGGTATTTCCTGGAAATGGCACACACTGCAACTGCTAGTATCACATGGTTACCCCTAAATGCAAAGAAGGCTGGGAAATGTATTTTTTTTTTTTGTGGGTGGCATCTAGATATGAAGATCCTATTACTGAGGAAGGAGTATTTGGGGGCAACTAGAGGCTTCTGCCTGAAGCCATAAAAGATTAATGATACCAACAAGGCAAAAAATTAAAAAATTCTAGCCTGGCTCCAAAATATACCTTAAAAAACGTCAAGTGCCCTGGAAGAAAAAACTTGCACCGTATTTGGGGGGAAACATGTATTTTTTTTCCACGTTTTTGCACCACATAGAAAAGGAATTTTTACAAAACAATAACTTTAAAAATGACCAGCAGCCCCATAAAGGAGCCAAGGCCAGACAAATTGAGAGAAGTGCCTACTTCCTAAGAAGAAAAGGCAAATATAAACCCCCAAGATGGGGTTTTTTTTTCAGCCAACGAAGTTTGCTTCTTATTAAATGCTATTGGGAGAGTAAATCAGTATGCTTACAGGGTGGCGGTAGGGATCTCGGCAGGGTGAAAAAATAAAAAACCTGGGTCCAGGAATGCCAGACCCAGGAAGGAACTGTCCTTCCTCCATGTGGTACGAACAAAGGGAAGGATATTCACTGGCTGTCCCTACCCTTTTCTGGGTCTGACTTCTTGAACAGGTCCTGGGGCCAAGGAAGGACACAGAA